TTAGGAGTGAGCACTTTTTATTCATAATATGTGATTTATATCAATTGCGACGATCAATTCACCGAACTAAGATTGTTACAATGAATAATCTAAATGAAGAGTTATGACCTAAACTCTTATCATGAGGTCTCACAACCTACTAACTGTTTTGTTTCAATGAAGACTGAGTCGCTTGTAACATATTTCCAACAACTGATTGTTTAAACAATGTTAAAACTTTGTTTATTTGTTTATTTCAAGGCATTATGCTTTGACTTTAGCCAGTTAGGGAATTCAAACACTATTCAAATATCATTTTAAAGGCAGTTAAGAATATCTTTGTCCTTCGATACTAAAAAGAATAACTTTATTGACCTTGTCCGATGTAATAATTTGTCGACTGATCCCATTTGGGATAAGGTGGTGATTTATAGGTAGTCGACCCAGGTTTCATGTTATCTGACACTTGTCAGCAAGGTGTGCCTGTAATCGTGAGGGAGCTAATGCCCCCTGACGGACCTAACTCCTTGTCACCCAGCTTCACAGTAAGTCGATTACCTCCAACTATCGCTTCATCTCAGTATAATGCAGGCAACATCAAGTCATCTAGATTAGTGGCCATATTATAATTTGGCCTATGGAATTCGATCTGCATTAAGAAGGACTTGATACAAATTATATTGGTCACTATCTAGTGATCAATCAATACCAGTGAAAGCCAGGAAACACATGGTAACTTTTTCTACCTAGTATGGGGCTCTTCTGAAATGCGCACTTATGATCCCGTAGGCATAGAAACCAGGATCTCCAGGTCTCATAATCAGGTTATTATCTTAAGTCCATTGGTTTGGGGTCCTGTGGTCGGGATTTCCGAGTTCAATTGATTCATAATATGGCTTCACTGCTTATCCAACTGAACCCCGTAGACCACAACTTTTGAGTGGAAAATTTGTAATTCGTCAAGAATTATGTTATCAGTAAGAACGTGATCATAGTTTTATGCCAAGAATGTTGAACAGTTCGAAATCATAACCCATAGATCAGGGAGATTGTTTACATTTGAAAAAAAACAGAGAGAAATGAAAATCACATACTATTTATCGTCAATCAACAATAAGCATGATATAGATATTCTTAAGTCACCTTGAACAGTACTTATATTTGCTAGTCGACTTATATAATCTTTCCATAAGACTATAATTTATAGACGACCTTTGAGTGACGTTAAAATTACCTTTTGAATGTACATTCTACTTACTAAGACTGAATGAGAGTTATAAACCAGTGTGAAGAATAAGGATTATGATTTACAGTTGATGATTAAGGTTAGGAATTAGATTTAAAGATTTTCATCACGAACTGTCATCAACTAAAATGACCAAACTCTAAATGGCCAAATGGATGAACGAATTTCGCACCCAAATCCAAGATTTGATATCCTAAACCGGATTGGTTCGTTCATAAATTGTGGTCTCATCAATTTTTCTCCTCAATTGTATTTTAATTGCAAAAATTGTCTACTCATGTTATTTCCTCCTCTTGATTGTTTAGGCTGAAGTTATTAACTTAAACAAATTACATTTTGCCCTGGTACGGCCGAGAGTAAGGAGAGTCCGCTCTCCCTCTTGAAATGCTCTCACATGGTTACGCATATATAGCCTCTGACAGGGAAGCCCTATTCACTGCCATCTCGCACCACGGGTGTTGTTTACGAAATTGAGAGGACGAAAAGCGAATGCCTGGCGCTTTCACCGAGTTGGTGGACATGGAGAGCCCACCTAGGATAGTTGGAAAATTCTCATTCCAAACCAATGGTGCACATGGGCTTCAGTATACTGCGGGAACAAATGGCGTATGAACCAATCGTTGGTCACCGGTTACCATGGGACTGCATCTCCTTACGATGCTCCACTGCCCTGTAGATCCGACCTTTAGGTTGGAGGCTCCGGGTGTGGTACCCTAAGAAAACCACCTGCTTCGGTTTGGGCACCCGGGCAGTATCACAGCCCTCACATAAATCAAATGAGATCTGTGTGGCGCATGTTTATTTGGTACCCCCTTGTACCTTGTAGTTGAAGATCATGTAGGCACTAATAACTTGATAGTATTTATCCTCCCAATATGATTATCCTTAAAACAGTAAATTCTGTTCTGTGAATATATAGTTGATTCCTTACTCTGAATCTGCCTTTGAATACTGTTATGTCTTTGTCAATGTGGTATCCAGACACACTGTTCTGTATGTACATATAATAGCAGACCATATTATCTTTCCTATGTCAAAATGGATTCAAAGATGAGATAAAAAAAATTTTTGTATAATAAATAGGATTATGAACGGCGTAAGGTTCTTGTTAAAGACTTTAGTCATCTCACACTTGTCTACTGAAATATCCCGTTAACTTCACTTGGTATTGTTGGCTTGTATCTTCCCATTGTCGTTGAGGACTGCAATTGATCAGTCTCTTGTCGGCATATGTTCATTCTGTGCGGACTGCCTCAATATTTCGTTAATTCACAAGAATTGTAAGCAATGACAAATGATGACTAACAGTGGAACCCAGGACATGAGTTTCGTCTTATTAGGGACTCATCAGTTGGATGTACCTGCATCTCAAAGTTGATGTTCACTCTAGGACAAACAATACCAAGTGAATTTATACTTCACATCATTGCACAAGCAAGTGGCTATCAGAGCCCAGTAACTAAGTGGATAACGCGATGGCGTTTGAAGCGAACCGTACTAGTAAGAAGTCCAAGAGTGGACATCCAGCTGACGAGTTCTGACTAGGATGAAACACGCCTGCTGAATTCCACTACTAGCCACTAACCATCTTTGCTTATATCCTGCTAACTGTTTATATAATTCATTACTATCAAACTGATCGAACAAGACGTAAATGTTATGTTTTGTAGAGAATGAACATAGTATATCAGGCAACATAAACCATTCTAGGAAAAAATAACAACGATTTAATTAAATCCACCGTCATTTTACTTTTTATGGATTATCACAACTCAAAATGAAGGTGTAGAAAGATTCTTATCCTAGAATTCTTTTCAAAAACAAAAAAAGAAAAGAAGTCATCAACGAAATAACGAAATACAATATTCCCTAATGATAACCGTGCAATATATGTTCTTCCAAGAAACTTTTTAATAGAAAGAAACAAGGTACTTATTTATTAGTCAGTAGTATAACTAAATAAATATAATTTTCAAATGAATTGTCTTATGCTTAGGGTTTATGGGAAGAAAATAATGATTTATTTTTTGTAGGAAAACATTAATATTTTTTTCCAATGAAAATTGATTTTCAGAAAAAGAAAGAAAGAAAGAAACTTTCCTATGATTATCGTTATTATTATAAAAGAGTGATTCATTGTAGCCATTCTTGGCTTAGTATTTGATGTTTGTTTTTTTGTTTATGGTTCGTATTCAAACCATGAAAATTATGACTAGTATGTGTAATTTTAAAAGAAGAAAAAAGACTTCCATTTCTCTTAGAGATTAAATTTTGTAAATAAAAGATAAACATTTAAATAGAATATTATTTTGATTGTTTGGGAAGTTTTCCACTCTCTCTCTTTCTCCCTCTCTCCCCATTCACCCCCCTCTCTTCTCCTCCTCCACACCCCTATCACTCACACACACATACTCTCTCTTTTGTCATGAAACTTTATCAATATCCATTTTAATAAATAAATTGAACATTGAATCTCTCTGTCTCTCTCATTTATTAAAATGAATTAATTTTATTCTCTGATGAATCCATTGAAATTTTTCCACTTCCTGAACCAGCTCCACTATCTGATTGTGAATTTAATGTATCACTAAGAGTTGATAAATGAGTTAAAATTTGTTCATTATGAATTGATTGATTATTAGTAGTACTATTAGTAGTATTAGTAGTATAATTTAATTTATTCATTAATGTAATTAATTGTGATTGTGATGATCCTATGGGTTGTATACGATTGATATTTGGTGTTAATTGATTAGTATAATTATTGATTAATGGATTTATTGAATCTATAGGTATGATATAATTCGATGGATTCATAGATGAATTTGTTAAGGGTATTATATTGTTTAATATGATATGATTATCATTATTATGTCTATTCATTATAGGTGATTCACAATTCATTACATTTGATGGATTGATATTAATATCTGATAAAATACTTGAATCTGGTTGACCAATACTACCAAAACATGAATTCATACCATCGGAACCAAGTTGATTCATTGTAACCGTATCTATATTACTATTATTATTAGTAGTAGTATTAGTCGTATTAGTATTATTTAAATGATTTTGTAATTCTTTAAAATGTTGTTGATGTTGTAAATAGAAATTAGTAACAGCTTCGGTAATTTGTTGTTGAGATGAATGATGTGAAGCGAGAGAATTACCACCATTACGTTGGATACTAGTTATGGATCGACGATGAGCTTCAATATTACTATTACTATTATTATGATGAGTCCATGATATTGGAAATTGACCGGGTACAATAGAGAATGCCGATATAGATTGTCTATTACCTGATTTACCATCTGGTAAATATCTTAAATGGATATCACTTGATAAACCATTTGATGATTGATTATCATTCAATAAAAATCCAGGACAATTTAAACCAGTTAAATATTCTGATCCATAATCAATAGATGGTTGATATGATTCATAACCATTAGATTGTGATTGAATTTTATTCATTAATAATAGACTGCTTCCTTTTTTATTCATTTTATGACCATCATGAAGTAATGTACCTAAATGTTGTTGTTGTTCATATCCTACTTTATCACGATAATTAAAACCTTTCCCATTGATTTGTTTCACAATACGTGCATTACGTATTTCTTCAGCCATACAGAATAAATGTTGCATATGTGGTTGATCTTTTGATTCTGAAATATAACAAAAAAAACGAAGTGAATGTGTGTACTTTTATTGGGGATCTTAGATCCCCAGAACTCACTTGGGAAAGGACCTAAGTTTGTAATTTTATTTAGAACATTTGAATTTCTTTGTTTTTGCGCTAAAGGTGCTCTTGTTACCATCATGTCGTGTTTCCCACTGTGAAGTATCTTAAATGTTATTGGTCCGTTGCATCTTTTAGTATGCCATTTGGTAACTCTCCCCAAGGACAGTTTTGTACTGTATACATGTATACGTTTTGAATTGTGTTTGTTGTTATCGCTCGTTTCTGGCGGTTTGCAGAATATACTTCCGTATTCCAAGCTTGGACTTTTCCCTCTAGTTAGCGGGGCTGGGACGCATCAAATAGCTAGCTTATTGGTCTTTGGTCACTGAGTCTTTGTTCTCGTTTGCAGATTAAGTGAACTCGTGATAGCTTCAAACCTAGCAAGTTTTGATAGACAAATGAATGATCTAATAGGCAGATATGAAACCGTTGTTAGTTACAAATGTTACCTGATAATATTTAAGAAGGTAAATGGTTCAGATCAATAACGATTGTTACTATTTATATTAATGGAGCAAAATATTATCGTTACATAATTCTGTTATATCTACAGATTAGTTTCTTAATATACTGCGTATGACCTAAGCATTCGAATGGGGGGACCCTCACAAGTCATAAAGAAGAAAGATAGAAGAAGATTAGAGAAATTGATTGT